TTTAGACCCGCAAGCAGATTCCTCTGGTCATCAGCCGTCAGACCCGAGGTCCGGACTTTGTCGCTGAAGACAGCTTCAGATTCTGAGTACGAGGCAGCCATCGCCACTAAGTGCCACCATAGGCCAAAGCTTTGATCAGAAGTCAAGGCAGGCCGCGCAATTTAATTCTAAACACAAATCACTCAAGTCAATCAGGCTCACGCAAGCATGGCCAGCAAACAACAAATCACACAAGTCGGTCAGGCTCACGCAAGCATGGCCAGCACACAACAAATCACTCAAGTCAGTCAGGCTCACGCAAGCATGGCCAGCAAACATCAAGAGTCACACAAGCTCACGTGAATGGGCAGGCGCCGTAGCATAGCATCGCTCAGCTGCACTCGCACATCGCCGGATTCTGTGAAACTCATGCCCCGTCCTGATCGGGGCAACACTGTCTGCACAGCGGGAAGAGAACATTGGGGACCGCACACTCTACATAGCTGGTAGACGGCTTTCGGCCGCAAACAAAGCGATCTCCCTCCTCCCCGCACGCCATCAAATGGATGACCCTTGTAGTCTTATGCTTATAGACCGGACCCTCACCTATCGACTCACGAAGGCCAGGTCGAGGTTCCCAATGAGCGATGTCATCACAGGCCTTCTCGACCTCGTCATGGTCAGGGGCCTCCTCGTCCTCACTGCCACTCGACGAGCTCTCGAGCTCATCCTGGTCGAGCGGCTCGCCGTCGTCTATTGCAGGGCGGCCCCGCGGAAAATAGCCTGAACGAGTACTGTCAGGCCGAAACTTGTCCACAGCGACAGCATTGGTCATTTCGCCGAGCACTCTCAAAGGCTTACTCAGGTTGTCCCTCGCATAGACCAGCTCTGTTCCGCAATGCGAACTGTGGTAGCCCAGGACTGCCCTCAAGCCCTGCTCTGCCCCGTACTTCGCAAGCCAACTCAGCAAAGTCCTCTTGAGACTGTGGGTGCCCAGCTTCCTGATATCGGCGCTGTCGCCGAGCTCTCGCCTCAACAAATCTCTCAAGATCCTAGCAGCGTGCTCGGCTGAAATCGGCAAGAAGCTAAAGCCACCGCCCGTCACAGGCGACGACAAGAGAGGCTGTCCCTCGCGAAGCACCACACCAAGTTCAGCCATCAACTTGTGCCATGCGATTCCCCACGGCTCATCAAGCAGTCCATTGACCGGCGCCACGATCGGCAGGTACCTGGTCTTTCTCTCCAACGAGTACGAAGTCTTAGACCGGGTAATGGAAGCTTCAAGAAAACCACACGGGCCGTCATCGCCCTCAGTGACATCAAGCATGATATTGGCAGAGGCCTGCGAATCGGAGAAACGCGCTCGGGCATACACGGTGAAGCAGAAGAACCCAGCACAGTGTCTATCAAAACCACTGTAGGTTTCAGCAGCCTTCCCCAGCACAATCCTCTCCAAAGTCTTCACATGTAAAACAGTAAGTGCAGGCTTCTGCACGACCTTCCTTTTTTCGAGGTATCTCGTCTTGGCCACTCCCTCGATGCGTCCACTGATGCTAACTTTCATGTCCAGGCCAAGGACATGAACACAAAAGCCCAATGATTCAAGAAAACTCCTCCCGAAAGTGGCAGCAGCTTTCTCTCGAGCCGAACGACTTGGACCATACAGCTGCGGAAACTTAAGCTTCAAGAGTACAGTAAAAGTAAAAAGCCAAGGAAGCGAACACTCTGCGAAACACTTGCAAGCCCACTAAAGCTGCGACGTCTGTTTTCCTTCGGTGACGTTGGGATGTCAACACATCCGCGCTCGGCCATTGCCAAGTTTTCGAGATGCCCAAGTAGCATCAAGACCTAACTATCCTAAACCTACGTGCATCGCAGGGAGTTGCAGCCCTCTACGAGGGGCCCTGCTTTTCACACCC